AGATTATGAGTCCCTATAATGAGGGTTTATAACCACTCAATCAGCCAACCATTCACAATTACATCTACAAGATCAACAACATTAACTACCCTATAATATCACTCCCAAGCTCTAAAGAAATATGTCGAACGAAGGGAATAGCCTTAACATACATTTTCCTTTATAATTTATGCTGAAAATACCTCTGTCCGCACCACTACAACACTAAAAAAATGGTAAATCAATCAGTAATTAAGGACAAGAATTACTACAACAATCGATACGGATTCCTATCGTAAATTACTATCCAAGACCTAAGGTATCCATAAACTAATAAAAAATAGCTCGTACATTTCTTTACATGCCCAGAACACTTAAATAAAATCAAACCACTGAAAAAACTATGTTGTCACAGTCTCGACGGAGCTATACCGATCAATTCACCATGAAAACTATACCAAAACGACGAGCTCGCGAAGTAGGGCAATTTTTGATAAGGAGCCAAGAAGAGATCATGAACACACAATGATGATTTGAGGAGAATTTATCTGATTTTTGTGGGTTTCTTACGAGTTTGAATGAAGAAAAATGAAGAAGATGTTATCTTATAAGCTTCCACCGACTTGGGGGACCCTGCTCACGTGCCTGCTTGCGCAGTCTCGCGAAAATACGAATATCTCTCTATTCTGAAGTCGTATAAACAAACTGTTTGATGCGTTGGAAACTAGACTCGTAGACCTTTGAGTTAATGGGTCGTGGGCCCCATAAATCTTTATATATTGGGAGAAAACTTCTGAGACATTTGATCCAAATTTCAGAGAAATCTTTAAAAAGGAACTTACAATAACTTTCGCCGACTTTTAGTTTGCGACTTTCCTTACTTCAAAACTTGAGATACAACCCTTGAACACTTATAATATGACATATCACATCATTCTTAATGTATTACTCACCCTCTTTGTCTTTCCACGAAGGTACGAGTTAATTTAGACGTTTTGAAAAGTCGGGGTGTTACAAAATCAACTTCATAAATATGTGTTATTGAAATCGGAGGATGGTACCTTTATAAATATGTTCTAAATCGTTTTGTGTCATGTTCATTATTTATTTTAGAGAAGAATACATGGACATTATTGAATTATTATTTTTTTAAAATGGTGACTACATTTTTTTTATGTAAAACTAATTTAGGTTTCAATTACTAAGATTCACAATAGTTTTGGATATTACTTCATGCATCATATTTCGTTCTTTGGTTACATATATTTCGTTCTTTGGATACATGTATCTTAACTCGACAGTCGACGAATTTAAAAAGTGAGATATATATTTTATTCATTTGAATAAAATGGTTGTAACTGATTTTCTTAATAAAGAAGTAATTGACTACTCTGACAGATTTCGACATCCCAGCGTATCGACTATATCAAATTTTCCAAAAATATAGAATTCATAAAATCAAAATAATTATAAACTTCATCTTCTTGGCAGTAAATTAGTCATTGTTGGAGTGAGATTGTATGGTGAAATTCTTGAATCAGAAAGAGAGGAAAGATAATTGAGTGATAAATATAGGAAGAGAGAATTAAGAGATTGTGGTTGATTTGAAGTAAAGAGTAAATTAAGAAGATAATTAATCAATCCTAATTTTAAGGTATGTGAGAATCTGATTGTATCTTCAATAATATATGTTATATAAAATATTAAAAGTGGTAATATATATAATGTTAGTATATATGGTAATGATGTATGTCTAATAAGGTAGTTTATTTTTTTTTAAGAATTATTTTTATTATTATTAGTTATATATGTAGTCCATGTATTTCTATTTTATTTTTATCAAATTTAAAATATTTATTTATAATTCAAATATCTTAACGTTTATCAAAAAATGACGTTTTTTCTAATATTTTTGTTAATGTAATATCTAACTACTAATTTATTTGAATTACAATCTTTATTGTGTTTAGTATTATTATTAATGTTATAATAATTATATATATAAAATGTTATAATATATATATATATATATATATATTAAGATGTTTAAAAACAAACGGTCTTAATTATTCATATGTGTATTCATATACAAACATCTTAATCTTAATTAAAACAAATGAGGCTTAAGTACAAGAAATCATTATTGATGATTTTTAAATATCTAACTTAATAAAGGAAGAAATGCTATTGAGTAAACTCTGTGTTCAAGCTTTATAATTATTGTTTTTATTTCTCACTAGATGTTATGTTTGTAAGGTTTAATGGAGTTTGATTAACCTTAGTTCGCGCACTATAGACTTATTTGTTACTTTCAATTAAAAACGAAATGTGATAATTTTATTCGCGTACCACAGACTCATTTCATACTTTTAACAGAGAACGGAATGTGATAAACTTTATCATTTCTATGTTCACATTAAAATCTTTCTTCAAACAAAAAATGGAAAAGAAGTTTTGATAAAAAGACAAATATGTCATATTGTTATTTAATTTCGAGATTAATTATGAGATTATCATCCCACGGTACAGTGATACATAGAAAAATATCATAATTTTGATATCAAAAAACAATTCAAAAATTGCTAATTTCAGAATAAAAAAATAATACGTACCTAGTAATAAAATAAATAATTCCGACAACTTATTGCAAGATTATAGAATAACTAATTATTATTTTTATCTAGAACTAGAATAGACGCAACAAGTCTATGAATTTACACTGATTTTGCAAGCTTCTTTAAGAAAATCAAAGAAATCGATCAACTTATATATACATTGATAGTTGAACTAAAATAATTCAAAATACTCTTAATATAAATGTGATATCATTTATCTTTAGATTAAGTTCGAGTGACTTTTCCTAAAAGTCTCACTCGATTAAGAATATATATAATACACCTAATTATTATATATAGTTTCATTATCTTTTCAACTATACCACTATGTAAATTTTGTTGGCACCCCATGAACATAAATTATTATATATAGTTTCATTTTCTTTACATGTGATGTGTGTGTCACCGTTCCCCATCAATTGAGTATCTATAACCATGAAAGCTACATATAAAAGTAATAAACCATAATTTTCCTAAAAAGGTTTCTCACCATTGAAAGTATTACTATATAAATATATATGTAGCTTCATTTTATTTTCAACTACATATCAATGTGGAAATTTTGTTTGCATACTAAAAAGCTTTTTTCGAATTAAATTTCACACCAACCGTTATTTACAGATTAACTGATTGCCACTGGCTCATCAATCGAGTATTTATAGCCATCAAAATTATAGATAAAAGTAGTAAACTATTAATTTTCCTAAAAAATGTCTCATATCATTAATAGCACCATTACACCATAGTTAATTCATGTTATTTTTAGCTACCAATAGAAAACTTTGTTCTCGCACCCAACCCCCACAACTCTTGTTTAAGAAATCATGGAAAAACATTACGCCGTGATGATGCTTCATTATTATATAATTAAAACTAATTAATGCCTCCACAAATTATAATGAGTACTACTCCCTTAGTTCCTTTATAGTTGGTATTATAAAAGTTATGCACAATTCTTAAGTTGACTAATATACTCATTGTTAATTTTTTACTTCCTCTCTCTCAATTTATGTGATACTTTTCATTTGTCAAACACTTCAAGTTTAATTAGAAATTTGCATATGAAAGCTTCAAGTTTTTAAAAATAAAATTTGTATATTTGTAAACTACATAAAAAGTACTATAAGTCACAATAATTGTCAATTCATAATATTTAAAAGATATATGAAAAATTTATGGTAAAAAATAGACTTGTTTAAATCTCGAAATTTGAAAAATGTCACATAAATTAAAACGGAGGGAGTAATTTAAAAAAATAAATATTTATGTACTTCTTAATTCTAAAATAACTAAATCTAAGTGAAGTCGAAAAAAATTAATTAATTCTTATATTAACATAAAACAATTTATTTTTTTAATATACATAACAATTAGAAAGAAACAAAGTAAGTGAATACTAGTAGACATAGCAATGGAATCCAAAAACAAATTAGAAAGAACGGAGACAAAAGTAAAACTAAGGAACATACAGAAAGAAAAAAATTATTAGGAAAAATATTCGAAAAAGCAGAAATCTTATAAAACAATTACTCTACAAAATTGATTACAAGCCTAATTAGTAATAACCCAGAGCGGTCCAACAAAGAGGCGAAATAATGATATCTAAGGAAGCAAAAAAGATACGAGCTTCTAGAGAGAGGTAAAAAAGAATCACAAACATCATATTACAAAACGTCCTTCTTGTGTGTTATATATGGTGGTAGTGTTTGGTGAAGAACCTCAAATTCCAAGAGATTGCCAGTATTTCTCAAATGACTCATCTGGAGGCGACCTATTGAGTAATATGTCATCCAATCCATCCAAATCAAAATCAAAATCAAGATTAGTTCCTTCAATTTTCCCGTCATTACTCTGATTTTGGTAAATATTCGTCGAGGCTTGATCAGTGGGACCCACAGACACCCCTTCTCCCGTTAACACAATATTGTCCTGAGGTGGCGCTGAATTAGTATTTGATGTTTGGCCAAACTCATGTGGCGTTGAGTAAGTATTTGATGTTTGGACAATCCTAGGCAGTGTTGAGTTAGTATTTGATGTTTGGTCAATCTCCAGTGGTGTTGAGTTAGTACTTGATGTTGGGCCTATCTCAAGTGGTGTTGGGTTAGTATTTGATGTTTGGCGAATCTCATGTGGTGTTGAATTGGTATTTGATGTTTGGCCAATCTCGAGTAGTGTTGGGTTAGTATATGACGTTTGGCCAATCTCGAATGGTGTTGGGTTAGTATTTGATGTTTGGCCAATCTCAGGTGGTACTAACTTAGTATTTGATGTTTGGCCAATCTCGTAAGTGGTTCTCATACCATCCAATATTAATGTAGCATGGCTATTACATAGATAACTCGAATTCATGGTTGTATCATGTGACTGATCAGATGTGATTAGGGTTTCGAATTTTCGCTTTAGTGATGGTTGTGGTTTTCCATTGTTATGATCAGTCGTGATGAGATTGGACCCAATTAAAGAATTAATCAAGCTCCTTCGCTCTTTGATTTCTGATTTTTTCTTATAAATTCTGCAGGCTGCAATATCCTCATACTGCAAGTAATACAAAGTAAAAATAATCTTAGTAGTCTATGTTTTTGTCAGCAATATGAAAAGATTTGCATAGTTAAAATCTACGTAAAAAAAATTACTCAAGAGACAAATAAAAAGAGAGGGTATACTTACATATTCGTCCTCTTTTGATGATATTGAGGGATAGACGAGCTTGTTAGAAATTACATACTCGTGCATTATCCATTCTGCGGGGATATCCACTTTGCCACCTGCTGAGTTTTTAAAATGGTATTTAAGTGTGGTCTTTTTACCCAACTCAGAGCCATCTTGAGCGAATACTTTAGTTTTTTTGCTTGTTGATTTCCAATATCCTCTTCCGTCTCTTATAACCCGAGCAGTATTTTTTTTTCCATTTACATATTTTCAATCTCTCTTCGTGAAGAAGTATGTATACTCCCCGTCCATATTAACTCCTGCAATAGTTACACTATTAAATACAACATCAAACTTACATACATGAAAAAAAATGATGTTATATTAGGTATAAAGTAATATGTATGGCAAACTAAATAAAATCCCTCAATCTAATATTGTAGTATCTCTTCATCCGTCGAACAAAACTTGAAACCCGCTAAAATTTGTTGCTTCCATTCTTCTTCTCCAGATATTAGATATGTTTTTTTTCCTTACAAATTTGCCCTAGCTAGATAATCGGTAATTTCTAATATATATTGTTTTGTTTTATTTTTAATTTCTTTAGCTTTCTATTTCTTTGATAGTCTATTAGTTGGTTCTCTTTTTATAGGTTGATGGCGGGTAAACTTTAGTCACTTGATTTTTAGACTTCCTAATTCTAATATATTTGAGTTCTAAAATTTACCTTGTTTTATATGGTTTAGATAATAAATATCTTTTAACTATCCCAGTGTGATAAGGGTTATTACCACGGTATATTCACTTGTCTCCCTTATTTTATAAGGGTAAAAAAGTAATTTCATTAACCTTATTTTTATATGGTTGACGTTTTAAGTTTATTTATCAAGCCATTTATTTTAAAGAAAAAGAAAACTCATTATCTAGAATCCCAAATGAATTTGAAACTAGTTTAAAGTCTAAAAAATAAATATAATAGGTTGAAGTTTACTTATCCATACTCATTTAGGCCATTTATTTTAAGGAAAAAGGAATTCTCACGTTTTAAGTTTAATTATCCATACTCATTTAGGCCATTTATTTTAAAGAAAAAGAAAAGTCATTATATGAATTTGAAACCAGTTTAAAAAAACGAGGAGGTTGGTCTCCTACTATATTTTCGAAAAATTAATGTAATTATAGAATAAATTTCAGTAGTTAGGCATATTTTATAAATCAATTTTTTTATAAATAAAAAAACGGATTCATGATTATCATTATTGTTATTTTTTAAACCTAAGTATAAATCAAATATTTTAGTTTCTTAATATATTATTTCAAGATTTCAAATTGGTTAACAAGTTCAAAAAATACAAGGTACATACATATATAGAGGCCCGAGCCAAAAAGACAACTTTTTTCCTTCAAAAAACATAAATGGTATATCAAAAAATATATATATCAAAAGGGCAAAATTGATCTTAAGGGAGCGATATCTATAGTACAAAATTAACTCCGTTTACGTCGTTAAAAGAAATTAAAATAAGCAGCGATTTAGTCAAAAGATCTTTATTTTTTAAAACGAAGTGCAGCGATTTTTTCAAAAAAAAAAAAAAAAACCTAAAATTGTTGCTCAGCAGCGATTTTCCTCAATTTTTAAAATTTTTTTAATTATCGCTGCTTTGGCCTATTGTTCAAAAAAAAAATCCTCAAAAAAATTGTGTATCAACTGCCTATTGTTCAAGTAGTAAATTTTAAAAAAAAGTTTGAGGAAAATCGCTGCATGTTCATATTTTAAAAAATAAAAAATTTAAGAAAATCGCTGTTATTTAAAAAACAATTTTTTTTGACGAAATCGCTGTTGGGGCAGCGATTTTAATTTTTTTTAACGGCATAAACGGAGTCAATTTTGTACTAAGATATCGCTCTCTTAAGAGCGATTTTGCCCCTTTTGGTTTAATTTTTTTTTGATATACCGTTTATGTTTTTTGAAAGAAAAAATTATCGACTCCGGACTCTACATATATAAGTCATGCATAAGGAAGAAGCTCAAGTTATATAAGTCATGCATGAGGAAGAAGCTCAAGTTATGATACCTGGAAGGTGATCAGGGTTACATTCGTAGAGATCAACTTGAGGTATTATTCCAGGCAGGATATAGTTTCCGGTGACATGACGAAGAAGATAATATTGTAGTATCTCTTCATCAGAAGGACAAAACCTGAAACCCGGTGGGATTTGTTGCTTCCATTCTTCATCTTCTCCAGACATTAGATACGTTTTTTTTTCTTACAAATTTGCCCTAGCTAGATAATCGGTAACTTGTAATATATGTTATTTTTATTTAGATTTCTGTTTCTTTGATAGTCTATTAGCTGATTGTCTTTTTATAGATTGACGGGGCAAATTTTAGGCAATTATGTGTTCTACTAGATTTAGACTTCCTACTTGTAATATATTTGAGTTGTAAACTTTACCTTGTTTTAGATGGTTTAGATAATAAATATCTTTTAACCATCCCAGTGTGATTACCACGGTAGTAACCAACCCACGGTCCAGAACCCAGTAAGAAAAGTAGAAAACTCACCGATGGATGCAGCGTAACAACAACAAAAGGCAAAGGTAGCCACGTGACGAGCAGTGCAATGTACCTGCAAAAAAATTAGGCAACCAAGAGGGGTGAGAGAAAACAGAGAAGGAGAAGAGATATTAGAGTCAAAAAGAGAGAGAGAATAAGAAAAAACGACATGTCAATGTCATACACAATTCAACTAACCACAACTGCTCATCATATCCAACCCACTTATCATTCCAACTATGCACAAAATCCAACAACAGTACAACCTGCACAAGGAGAAATAGCCCAGAACAAAACTTCAAAATCGTCTCCGTTTAACACAAACAACTTTCAGGTGCAAATCCAATATGATGAAAAGATACAGATGGGCTGGGCGTTCGGTTCGGTTTGGTGAAAATGTCAATCCAAACCAAACTGAAATAAATTTGGTTCGGTTCGGTTCGATTTTCGGTTTATGAGATTACACTGAGTGTTGTTGAACAAATTTACCTCCTATTCAACTTCTATCAGCAATTTTTACAATTTTCACATATATATGTGCTAGGAAAATTTTTGATTAGTGTTCTAACTTCTATCAGCAATTCAACATTAAGCAAACTTGCCATTTGCCAATGTCCAAGCCCCATATGAAGTGCCGACTCGTTCTCTGTTGTTGAACTGCCAAACAACCAACCGAAGACAGTACACACTACACAGGCAACAAGAGGCATCAAGCCATCAACAACACAACAACCAACACATAGAAAGACCAGAGCGAGGACGGAGGCGGAGTCTCAGTCAGACAGTCACTATATCTACACTTGACAAGTGACGAGAACGGAGGACGGACGGAGGCAATGGACTATCGGACGAGTGTCGTGAGATGGGTCGATGAGAGTCATTGTTCCCTCGTCGAAATGTGAGTTATGAGAGTGTAGTATTTAGGGATTTCTATTTTCAGTCATGGGAGTTTCAATTTAAGGATTCCGAATTGAGAATTGGGTAATTCATAAGTGTGGGAGCTACAGTGGGTCACTTCCAAATGCCAAATTGTCCAAATTTTAATGGGCTATTGACATTGGATAGGTTGGACCGTAAGTGTAGTATAGTGTTAATGTATTAAAATTCGGTTTTTCGGTTAAACTGAATTAATTTTGTTTAAAACCGAAAAAACCTAACCAAATAACTGAATTTTAAAACTGAAAACCGAAACCGAAATTAAAAAAATTTCAGTTCGGTCAGTTTTTTCAGTTTGAACCGAAATATGCCCAGGCCTAGTCACTCACAGTTTGCTACTCTTGAACAATGATTCTAACACATTTTTAAAAAGTATTCTTGTGAATGGATATACTACTCTATGTATCATATCATATCACTCATTGAACAGAGCGCTTAGACAAGATAAACTAGTTACGCAAGCATAAAAAGAACAACTACTTCTGCTAACAGAGTACAACTACAAATAAAGGGATGATACTGGAACAGATATGAAGAATGGTAGCACATTTGCGATCCAAATCAAAGGGACAAGTCGTGGAGCCAGATTCCACCAAAGCACAAAGCACAAAGACAAGGTTCAACGTTTACTTTGTAGGTCATACACACACAATTATAAGTTTCTTTTCTTCTTTGTATATTGATATGGAGAAACAAATATAGAAGTAAAGAAACTGCACAACTACCTTAGGAAGGATACCATAGAAGCTGATGATTCCATTTGGAAGGAAAAACATAAATATTACCAAGATGCACCAACAAATGATTTCATCATCCAACCACCATGGTGCACACCGTCACGTGGATCTTTCTGGCTCTTTACACCAATCATCAAGATTGCCAAAATAGTGAAAAAGAGAAAGTTCCCCAGGCTAACTTGCAGTACAGCATCTGTTTCAAACCACTCCCTGCTTAGTGTTGTGTGAAAGCTATTAATCCCTGCAATATAATTGATATGTAAAGCTATCTTGTACAAGTAAAAAAGCCACTCCCAATTAATGAAAAATTATTAGCCAAATCAAGGTCAAGGTACCGCATAATCATCTTGATTTGGCTTGCAAGAAATTAACAATGAGCTATGAAAAGATGTTCACAACCATTAACTCGGGATGCAACGGATAATTAGATACATACATAAAGTCATGCACGCAAAAATAGAATTCTTATTCTCTGACATAATGATTCTTTGTGCTAACAATATAACATTGTCAAGGTTTTACATTTTGTGAAGTTTTAGCACATTTGAGTCTTTTTTTGGGTAACTGAAAAATACCGTGTTGACAGTTCCAAGCCGATCGATAATGAGCCTCCACCTCTACTTGGTTCATGACAAAATTTAAACTCGTGACATGTGCCTACCATACAACTTTCAATGCATTACCCTTGCTATTGAACCAAAGCCCTAGGGGCAAGTATTTCAGCTTTTCCAAAAACTCATAATTTGAAGATTCCAAATACAGAGCCATTCGGAAGAGTGAACCCAGAGAAGCAACAAAATAAAACAATGCATGGAAAATAATTTTCAATAAGCAACACAAACCGAAAATATAAAGAATTAAAGGCAAATTAATAAGCCAAATCTAATCTAAAACGCTATACACTAAATCATCTACTATATAAGTAAACAGACACCATAAACGAATATATGATCTATTAAAACTGAATAAATATTTATTCTATAATAAATATTATATCTAAACATATGGTTAATACTTAATAGTATATATCCCAACAACACGTCAAGCCTTTTCATCACTAAAATCCAACAAACATAGCTGAAAATCTAACAAAAGCAACAAAGCAAGTAAAATAATAATCCATAAACAAGTGCAATCAAAAGAGATTTACCCCGGATTTTCTCCATGAGAAAAGCAGCAACCTCCATAAGAATCCAGGACACAATGAGTGAGAGAGCAAAAGTCCATAGTATGCAATCCTAGCTGAACGCCGGCTTATCCCTGACACCACCGTCCGGCAAGAAGCTGCCCACATCCTTAATTCAGTCCTTTATGCTTTTTTCCGACTCAATTAATCGCACAAAATTACAAACTCGAACCCTAAATTCCAAAAATGAAACCTTAAGCTCACTTTTTTCTCCCCTTCATCAATAAGAATAATCAAAAATTGAGAAATCTGTCGAAAAAACGATAAATCTATGAATTCAAAAAAAGGTCAGGATAAATTAATTACGGTGACGAGAAGGGTGATTACCAAAAAAGGGAAGTTCTAGGCACCTCCCTCTGTGACAAAACTTGTCAGATGCATGCATACACAAGATTTTTTTATTTTTTTTTGTAAATGCATACACAAGAATCAGGATAAGTTTTCTTATTATTGTTGTTTTTTGGGTTAAGAAAAATAATTAATACAGCATATGTATATGATCGACCATATTAAACACTCTTCATATAATACTTATACTAAGCTACTATAATAATTTATGATAGGATACGGTACAGTAATTTTGGGGTTCAGTTTTAAAAATTATTATATCATTATCATATTAATTTAATTCACTATTTTGAAGTTTGGTTTTGATATTTTGCGATATGATAATTTGGTAATCATAATTAATTTGTTCAATATATCCTTGATCTATATATCCTTGATGAATGATAATCTCGATTTGTTGCCTGTTCAAGTGTCGTATCTCCATTTGAAGCACATTGTCGATTAGGACATCCTTCTCTACCTCTGTTTAAAAAGCTTTGTCCTCAGTTTCAGCATATTTCCTCATTGGAATATGAGTCATGTAAATTTGCAAAACACCATCGCATCTCACTAGGTCCAACGGTTAATAATCGAGTTGAGTCTGCTTTTGAGTTAGCACATTCAGATGTTTGGGGACCATATCAGCATATCCTGTTGATTCTGAAACTGGGCATAAATATTTTGTTACGTTTGTGGATGATTTTTCTCGAATGACTAGGATTTACTTTATGAAGAGTCGATCTGAAGTGTTTACTCACTTTACTGCTTTCTGTGCTGAAGTCAAAACTCAATTTAGTGCCTCAGTTAGGGTTCTAAGGAGTGATAATGCTAAAGAATATATGTCAGAAGTATTTCGGTCTTCCATGAGAAAGCACGGTATTCTTCATCAGTCTTGATGTGTTGATACACCTTCTCAAAATGGAGTTGCTGAGAGGAAGAATAGGCATATATTTGAGACAGCTTGGGCACTTTTGTTCCAATTGAAAGTCCCCAAACAATTTTGGGCTGATGCAGTCGCTACAGCTTGTTTTCTGATCAATCGTATGCCGTCGATTGTGTTGACAGGTAATATGCCTTATAGTGTTCTTTTTCCAAACAAATCACTATTTCTGGTGGAACCTAAGGTGTTTGGAAGCACATGTTATGTTCGAGATTTTCAACTATCTGTTACTAAGTTGGATCCAAAGGCGTTAAAATGTGTTTTCTTGGGCTATTCTCGACTTCAGAAAGGGTATCGGTGTTATTTTGTTGAGCTTGGCAAATACCTAGTGTCAACTTATGTGGTATTTTCAAAGGCTACACCATTCTTCAATGCACCTCCCATTTCTACAAGTGAGGTGGAGGAAGATGAGTGGTTGATCTATCATATTACTTGTGTTGTAACAAAACAATCAGATGATGTTATTCTTCCATCTTCTAGTTCATTCATTGAGAATCAGTTAACTATTATGCCTCCAAAACCTGCTTCATCCGTTCCAACAAAAGGAGAGGTAATGATGATACTTATCCTACATCAACTCATTCATCATTAGTTCCTTCTCCACTTGATTCTTCAAAAAATCTTGACCTTTCTATTGCTCTTCGGAAAGGTACACGTCAGTGTAAATCCACATATTCCATTGCTAACTTTGTTTCTTATGACCACTTATCTCCTACATCTAGTTGTTTGATTAGCTCTCTAGACTCTATCTTTATTCTTAAAAAAGTGAAAGAAGCCTTGACTAATCCTGGATGGCGTGATGCAATGCTTCAAGAGAAACATGCTCTTGATGAAAACATACTTGGAATTTGGTGAATTTACCCAAAGGAAAGAAAGCAGTAGGATGCAAATGGTTTTTTACGGTCAAAGTCAATCTTGATGGTTCTATAGCAAGACAAAAGGTTATACTTGTGGCTAAAGGCTATGCTCAGACTTATGTGGTAGATTATTTGGACACTTTCTCCCCCGTAGCTAAGCTCACCTCTGTTCATTTGTTTATTTCCTTGGTTACTTCTCAACATTGGCCTTTGCATCAACTGGATATCAAGAATGCTTTCCTTCATGGTGATCTCCATGAAGAGGTGTATATGGAGCAACCACCTGGGTTTGTTGCTCAGGGGGAGTATGGAAAAGTTTGTCATCTAAGAAACTCTATATGGTCTAAAGCAGAGTCCTCGTGCCAGGTTTGGAAAATTTAGAGATGTAGTTCAAGAATTTGGGTTGAAGATGAGCAAGTATGATCACTCAATCTTTTATAGACAATCAATGACTTGTATTATTCTTCTAGTTGTCTATGTTGACGATATTGTTATTACAAGAGATGATTGTACTGGAATATCTTCTCTCAAGCAGTTTTTACATGCCAAGTTTCATACCAAAAACTGGGGACAGCTAAAATACTTCTTGGGTGTAGAAGTAGCTAGAAGCAAGAAAGGGATTTTATTATCTAAAAGGAAGTATGTACTTGACCTACTTGCAGAAACTGGTAAGTTGGGAGCAAAACCGTGTGGCACACCAATGGTTCCTAATGCACATCTTACTAAGGATGATGCAGACCCTTTACTAAACTACCTTATTGTGACTCGGCCAGATATTGCCTATGCAGTCAGTATTGTTAGTCAATTCATGTGTGTACCAACTGTCAAACATTGCGCTGCCTTGGAACAAATTATGTGTTATTTGAAAGGAGCCCCTAGCCTTCGCATATTGTATAGCGACCACAGACATACTTATGTTGAATGCTTTGCATATGCAGATTGGGCAGGATCAAGAATTGATAAAAGATCGACTACTGACTATTGTGTCTTTGTTGGTGGAAATCTAGTATCTTGGAGGAGCAAGAAACAAAATGTTATATCTCGATCTAGTGTAGAGTCCGAATATAGAGCTATGGCTCAGTCCACATGTGAAATACTATGGATACAACACCTTTTAGCTGAGGTTGGTTTGAATCCTTCTTTTCCAGCAAAACTTTAGTGTGATAATCAGGCTGCTCTACACATTACCTCAAATCTAGTGTATCATGAACGGACAAAACATATCGAGGTCGATTGTCACTTTGTCCGTGAGAAGATTCAAGAGAACGTGATTTCTACTGGCTATGTGAAGACAGGAGAGCAATTGGGTGATATATTCACAAAGGTTTTGAATAGAACTCGGGTGGAATATCTTTGTAACAAGTTGGGCATGATTAATATCTATGCTCCAACTCGAGGGGGAGTGTTACAAAATGTACATAGTCATATCTACTCATAATATTCATAGCATAATCATAGGTAGAGATCTTTAGGGATCTTAGAGATATTTAGGGATATTTCTGATTGTATATCCTTAGATAGATTTACTTGTACACCTACAAATAGCTCTTATCCTTGGAATAATAAAACAAGGAAATTGATTCATTGGCTCTGTACTTTACAATATCCAATCCACAATAGCCCAGAACCGAACTTCGAAACTGTCTCTGTATACACAAACAACGTTTAGGTGCAAATACAATATGATGAAAAGATACAATTTGCTACTCTATGAAGAATGATTTGAACACATTTTTTTAAGAGGATTCTTGTGAATGGATACACTACTCTATGTATCATATCGTATCACTCATTGAACAGAGCACTTAGACCCGATAAACTAGTTACCCAAGCATAAAAAGATCAACAAATTCAGCTAACAGAGTTCAACTGCAAATATGCTCCAAATAAAGGGATGACACAGGAACAAGATATCAAGAATGGTAGCACATTTGTGATCCAAATCAAAGGGACAAAATCATGGAGCCGGACTCCACCACAGCACAAAGCACGAAGACAAGGTTCAAGGATTACTTTGTAGGTCATACACACACAATTATAAGGCTCTTTTCTTCTTTCTGTATTGTTATGTAGACACAAATGTAGAAGTAAAGAAACTGCACAAATACCTTAGGAAGGATAATGCTTACCATAGTAGCCGATGATCCCATTTGGAAGGAAAAACATAAATATTACCAAAACGCACCAGCAAATAAGTTTCATCATCCAACCACCATGGTGAACACCATCACATGGGTCTTTCTGTCTCTTTACACCAATCATCAAGATTGCCAAAATAGTGAAAAAGAGAAAGGTCCCCAGGCTAACTCGCAGTACAGCATCTGTTTCAAACCACTCCCTGCTTGGTGTTGTGTGAAAGCTATTAATCCCTGCGATAAAATTGATATGTAAATCTATCTTGAACAAGTAAAAATGTCTCTCTCCATTAAAGAAAAATTATTAGCCAAATCAAGGTCAAGGTTCCACACAATCATCTTGATTCAGTTAGCAAGAAAATAACAATGAGCTCTGAGAAGATGTTCACAGCCATTAACTCAGGCTGAAACGAATAATTAGATACAAACATAAAGTCAAGTGCGCCAAAACAGAGTTCTTATTCTCTGACATAATGATTGTTTGAACTAACAATATAGCATTGTCAAGGTTTCATATCTAGTAAAGTCTAGCATATTTTAGTCATTTTTTGGGTAGCCGAAGAATACGTTGCTTACAGTTCCAAGCCGATCGATAATGAGCCTGCTCCTTTACTTGGTTCACGATACAAAATTTAAACTCGTGACATGATACCTCTTGCAATGCATTACTCTTGCTATTGAACCAAAGCCCTAGGGGTAAGTACTTCAGCTTTTCCAAAACTCATAATATTGAAGATTCCAACTACAGAGCCACTCGGAAAAGAGAACCCAGAAAAGCAACAATGCATGGAAAATACTGTTCAATAAGCAAGGCAAACCGAAAATATAAAGAATTAGAAGTAAATTATTAAGACAAATCTAATCAAGTACTAATAATGTAACTACAATAACATTTCAAAGTCATTCACTTGGCTGAAAGGGAAAACAGATAGAAACATAACTCAAGCACAAACGAAACATGTCAAGCCTTTTCATCACTAAAATCCAACAAACATAGCTGAAAAGCAAACCCAAATAGGCAGAGATAGCAACAAAGCAAGTAAAATAATAATCCACCAAGTGCAATCAAAAGAGATTTACCTGGGATTTTCTCCATGAGAGGAGCAGCAACCTTCCTAAGAATCCAGGACACAATGAGTGAGAGAGCAAAAAGTCCATAGTATGCAATCCTAACTGAACGCCGGCTTATCCCTGACACCACCGTCCGGCAAGAAGTTGCCCACATCCTTAATTCAGTCCTTTATGCTTTTTCCGACTCAATTAATCGCACAAAATTGCAAACTCGAACCCTAAATTCCAAAAATGAAACCTTCAGCTCACTTTTTTCTCCCCTTCAATAAGAATAATTTTTAAAAATGAGAAAAATGTCGAAAAAACAATTAATCTATGAATTCAATTATTCAAAAATAGGTCAGGATAAATTGATTACGGCGACGAGAAGGGTGATTACCAAAAAAGGGAAGTTCTCTGTGAATTAGCGAGCCAGGTGACAAAACTTGTCAGAATGCATGCATACACAGTCAATTAATCGCACAAAATTGCAAACTCGAACCCTAAATTCCAAAAATGAAACCTTCAGCTCACTTTTTTCTCCCCTTCAATAAGAATAATTTTTAAAAATGAGAAAAATGTCGAAAAAACAATTAATCTATGAATTCAATTATTCAAAAATAGGTCAGGATAAATTGATTACGGCGACGAGAAGGGTGATTACCAAAAAAGGGAAGTTCTAGGCACCTCCCTCTGTGACAAAACTTGTCAGATGCATGCATACACAAGATTTTTTTATTTTTTTTTGTAAATGCATACACAAGAATCAGGATAAGTTTTCTTATTATTGTTGTTTTTTGGGTTAAGAAAAATAATTAATACAGCATATGTATATGATCGACCATATTAAACACTCTTATTATAATATTTATACTAAGCTACTATAATAATTTATGATAGGATACGGTACAGTAATTTTGGGGGTTGAGATTTTAAAAATATTATATCATTATCATATTAATTTAATTCACTATTTTGAAGTTTGGTTTTGATATTTTGCGATATGATAATTTGGTAATCATAATTGATTTGTTCAACTTCTTCGATTAATATATACTCGTATAATAGAGTTTTATGATTTGGACAATTCAAAAAAAAGTCTCAATTAAATCATACTCACACATTACATATGTAGAAATATAGATGCAAAAGAAAATACAAACAATTTCTTTTGTTAATCAATTACATTTAAGATACATTTCAATCAAAATAGAGTGACCAAAATTTAAATTTCTAAACATTTAGTTTATACTAGTATTATATATATATAATGTTTGTGTATGTTATTTATGTAACTATATACTTCGGTATATATAGTATTTGATATTTCGGTATGTTATTCCTAAAAATCAAATCAAATATCAAAAAAAAATATATATATACCATTTATCATACCAAATACCATAATATCAAAATCATGATATCAAAATATTTAGTATGATATAATAATTCAGCATATACTCATATCTTTTTTGTGGTCAGAATATATACTCATATCATGCTCACCCTAAATTAACATATTTATATATATATATATATATATATATATAGCAAGGAAAAATAAATTACTTTGTTTCTTCTAATTTTATGTGATACTTTTTGTTTCCCAAAATTCAATCTAACTAAAATTTGAAGTTAAAAATTTAGGCATAATATGGAAATATATCTTTTAACTTGTCCTTAGCTTGGGATTCATGTCTTCTGATTTTGGGTGTGCACAAATACATACTTAAATTTATATAAAGTTGAAAAAGTAAATACAAATGTTCTATATGTCATAATACACATAGGACACCATATATGATGTCATATAGGACGTAATTGACAAGTAGGACGTCAAGTTATTGGATGTGTATGTCAACTTGTTTAACTTTATATAAGTTTAAGTATTTACTTGTGCATATCTAAAATTGAAGAATATAAATGTCAAATAAGGCCAAACTAACGCCTAAACTTCTATTAGATTAACTCAATATTTAAAATTAATATGAAAAGTGTCCCATAATATAATATTTCCTCCCTTCACTTTTAATTGTCATGTTGCGTTTTTCGAATGTCAATTTGACTTATTTTCAAAGTTAAATTAGATTATATTAATTCGATATTTTAAACCAAAAAATTTAGATATTCAAAAACTATACGAAAAGTATTATAAATTGTAATTTTTTTGCATATCAATATGATAAAAAAATATATATCATAAAATGTTAGTCAAAGTTTTTATAGTTTGACTCTAAAAACAAAACTATGATAATTAAAAATTGATGGAAGGAGTATGAAGTATTTAAGGACAAAAATATAGTACTCCCTCCATCTACTTTTAATTGTCATGATTTCTATTATTAGAGTCAAACGATAAGAATTTTAACTAATATTTTACGATGTATTTTTTCATCATATTAATATGCAAAAAATTACAATTTATAGTACTTCTTGTATAACATTTGAATATCTAAATTTTTATTTATAATATTAAAATAATATAATTTAATCTAACTTTGAAAATTAGTGAAATGAACTTTAGAAAACGAACATAATAAATTAAAGTGGACATGGAATACTAATTGGTCAACTCCTAACTCTACGACATAACAAATTAAAGTGGACATGGAATACTAATTGGTCAACTCATAAACTCTAGAGACTACATGAGCCTCATTCATCTAAACATTAAAATTAAACAACCACATCCAACATGCATGGACAAAAATAATTACTCCTTATACAGATCTAAAGAAAACCAAATTACTAAGAAACATAAATAATACTACTCCATACCCTTAATTTCTCTCCTCTCTTGTAATAAAGTACTAAATAATTAATTCTTCAAAATATCAAAACTAAGAAACAATTAATATACCCCCTCACGTAACCAACATATAGATTGTGGTGCAATGGTGAGATTGCTCCAACTTTAATCAGAAGTCTCGAGTTCAAGTTCTGAGTACGGAGAAAAAGATAAAAATTCCTCAAGTTGATGACATTCAAACATCATAGGCAACACAAATGATTCTAAATCTCCAAAAATAATATGACTATCCTCCATAAAGGTGCTACTGGAATCTTGGCAGTCAAAGTACGTTTGTATGTCATCTGGGAAAGTAGTACTCCTCCTAGATTTCTCCACCTCCGGTGGTGTCTCCGGGCAGTCTACGACGGACGATGCTTTTTCTTCTTTGGTGCTAGGCATGGGATTCATGTCATTAGGGTTTGGACCTGAACAGTTGTTGTAACGGCTGATGTCAAAATTTGTAACAGCGTTTGGTCCACGGTACTGTATAGCTGCCATATCATATGCCATTGCTGCTTCCTCTTCGCTAGCTGCATGCATGCATCTTAATTACGCAGAGAAGTATTGAAAATATCCCTGAACTAGCTTGACGTAAATTATTAGTTTCGTCCTGAACTATTGACAGCCTTAAAAACACCCCCTCTACTTAACTAATTAAACTTAGATACACATTTGATCTACCACATGACATAGCAAGTGGTCTCAATTTCTTATAGGAGCATGATGCACTTAATACAGTAAAACCTCACTAAATTAATATAAGTGAGATCATGAAATATTATTATTTTATAGAGATATGATTTAATGTTCTTAATGTACTTTTAAAGAAATATTAATGGGATCATATATTTATACAGGATCTTTTGAAAATATATTATCTGATTATTTTATCGAAATTGATGATTTTTTTCATTGACCCAAGTTAAGATCGAAGGAATATAATTTTAAAGAGATTATTAATTTAGTGAGGTTTCCCATAAAAAGTAGAGAGAGCTTAATTAAATAGCAGATCTAGCAGTTGAAAGTTGGTGATCTGATATACCCAACGACCAACTAATATAATTAATCTAACTTCATACCTGTTCTTCTCTAATTTGACTTTACTTTATTTTGTAATCTATTTCTATATTTTGATTCTTTTGGGATAGTTAACGTTGAATATATAGGCCTTGAAATAGTAACTAAGGTAACTGAACGTACACCATTTGGCACTATTATATACACAGCTATATATAATAGTAGTATAATATATAAGCTCTCTCTATTAATTTTTAATTGTTCAGTATTTTAATTTGAATTTTACATGTCTTTTAAAAATAATTGACATGATTTTACCACAATATTCATATTAATAGATGTTTTGCACGGATAACGTAAGTACCATATGTTCCAAGGTAGAGATACTTATTTCCAAACACCCTGCCAATGCGAGCCTCCCATCGTCCATTGTGGTGGTGTCTACAAATATGCATGAGTAATATAAAATTTGGTTACACAAATAATTGAAATATAATAAAACATAAATAAAAATACATTAAAGAAAGAAAATAAATATATTTTTTGTGTTAAATCTTTTTCAATTTATGTGGTGAAATTGTGAGCACATGTTTAGAAGAAGGCTTGAAAAGTATTATATAAAAAAAAGTTCAAAGTCAAGATCAGGACGACATATCAAATGGCGCAAGAATTATGGGAAATGTTAGCTACAAGTTTGACAAAATAGGTTCTCCGATAAACTCTCTTATTATTAAATACCATTCATGATGTTCAAATATTTAAATAATTTATAATTAAAAGTGATATAATAAAATTATAATTTTATTTATTATGATGTGTCAAGTCAAACATAGATAAATAAACGTGTAACGGTTCTGAGGAGGTAGTGTTTTTTTGTTACAATTTCCAGCTCCGTCGTTGGCCCCCCTAAACCCTCCTAGATTGGCCAAAGCATGCAATAACTTCCCTTCACTTTTCAATATTAAGGGTGGGCCTGTCTATGGCTTTAATAAAAGTGCAGAACTTTTAGACCACCGCAACATGACTTTTTGAAATTTTGAGACAAAGTTTCAAGTGCCGAATATTTGGTTAGATACGCTGCATAATATACTAACTCTCTCATTTTTAATTTATTTATCTATTTTAATTTTCACGTAGCACATATTTATGATAATAAAATTAAAAAATATATGTATATATACTTATTGTTTAACTTTTGTATCAAGCTAGTCAAAATCAAAAAAATAAAAAATAAATGAAATGAATGGAGTATTTAATACAGGAAACATGACATGGAAATATTCACTCACAGTCAACTCTAGCCAAGAAAATGTATATAAGCCTAGTTATAGGTATTACTCTTCGTTCACTTTTATTAGTCCATTATATTAAAATATATTTTTATTCTTATGTGTAAAGTTTGAAAAATTAAAGGTAATGTGTCATTTATAATATACATTTCTTAAAACATTGAATTTATTATATAAAATTGTCATTCTATTTATTGCTCTTTATGAAATGTATCAAGTTAATAGTACTGAAGGCAAATGAAACACTACTTTATTTTTCCCAGATGTTGATTAATTAATTACGTACCTAGCTACACCTCTATATCTCGAGACTCCTCTTGAAAATCCACTACTTTTCCTGCAAAATAAAAAAATAGTCTAATTACTTACTGAAATTAGTACAAATATAAAGGGAATTAGCTTTAATTTGTTTCTATATATGGAGCTAGGTCGATATACCTTCTCAAAGAACCAATATATTCTTCTCTTGATTGACTTTCCATTTCTTTTATCTCTTTTTCATACGTCGACACCTACATTAATTATTATTCATCATAACAAAAGAAAATACAAATAAGAATTGGGATTAGTGATCATAGAACATAAATTTGCACTAACAAAGATTAATATATATTGAGTAATTAAATAGAAGATGGAAGATTAAATTACAGAGAAATTAAGGATTGTGTGTTGACCCCAATACTTTAATGCTGCCAAGTCATATGCATGTGCAGCTGCTTCTTCCTCATTGTAGGCCCCTTCAAAAAAAATAAGATAAGATTTCATTGAATCACCTTATTGTATAGAAATGCTTAATTTCTTTTAAACAATTTGAACTTGATTAATTCCCTTTTTAAAAATTAAAATCATAATACACAGTATTGATTCGATATACACTGCGTATGCAAAGGTTTTCCATAATGAAATATTGCCTAATAATGCCAAAATACAAAATAAAATTTTATTTGAATGATAGTGATAGAAAACTTACCCAAATATACTGCATTTTAATTGTATGTCATCACAACCACCACAAGAGCAACCAAACAAAAACAAAAACAAAAAAACCTCCAATCAGATGTATTGAACAATATCATAACAAAATAATGATTATTAAATAGGAAACTAATTACAAATTAGGAAATAGTTTAAACTAAATACATCATATCAAATTATCAATATAAGAAAAATTTCCTTTTACAGATTATAGGAGGTAAACTTTCTTATTTTCGATATTATAACAACTCCCATTAGGAAATCAAAGGGACAAAAAAAATGAACCTTGTCTTCCTTTTTTAGTCTGCGACTCATTCCAGCAATTTTTATCCCATAAATGAGCTTCATATCGACCCGTCCATCGGTGCCTAATAATTGTAACGGAAAAAAAATACTGCAAACTTATCATATCATAAAATGAATATTAATCAAACTATATAATGAAAATGAAGATGCAAATACCTGGTGACACCTCTGTAGATTGAACTACGTCGTTGAGGCGGCGAGTCTCTGGCTTTTCGCTTCCTCTTCCCTTTAGAAATGCCATTATCAGTATTGCTGTTGCTTAAACAAGTGTTTTGTTTACTCAGTTTTGAGGTTTTCGCCATATATGAATATATCTTGATTGCTAATTTAGTAGTGAAGTAAATAGGCAAAAAGAAGTATAGAAAGTGGACTAAATATAGTGGGGTTTATGTTTGTATATATTATATATAAGTATGGATGGCCGGCGCTCGATCAATATTAGTACGTTTATTTGTGTTTGCCTCTATCTCTTCTTCATACCTGTTATAATAATACCGACCTGATGAGATAAAAAATATTTATACTGACAGTTATGTTGAGTATAACAAAGTGAAAGATTTTGATAAAGCTATGTCAACTTTCAAACATTTTGCACGTTTCCGACTTTTTTTGCAGACATTTTCTTTTCGAAAACCGGCCACTTACTTCCAAAAAAAGATTTAAGGTTGAAAATTAAGAATATCATATGTTGAAAGAGATGGTAAAAGAGATAAGGACTAAAATGTTGAGCTAAATAGTAAGGATCCACTAATGAGTTAAGGATTGTGGCGTGTGTTGATGCAAGTAAAATTAAAGTAGGAGCACCTACTTGAGTGACTAGTCGTTGATCCACTTCTCTCTTGGCCCTTATTGACACATCGTTGTCCTCAATTATTTATATTTTACTAATTACTTTGCACATGATTTCATATTATGGTTGGGTCCTACTCCTACCCTAAGCCAAGGTACATCGTCTAGGGTATGGATGAACGTGTCTTTCGCTTTTAAAAATATTTATATATAATCTAGATAAATATTGTGTAACGATAAGGATGTGAGGTGGTAGAAATAAAGGCTACGGTAGGAACCATGGGAGTGAAATGAGTACACATAGACAATCAGACAAACCCAATGGGCTAGCAAATTTTCCGAGGATGACTTGGACAATCACATGATCATGATTCGGGACCTCTAATTATTAGCGATTGCAGAATCAAAATTTTCTTTACAAAGATTCAAAATGTAAAAAAAATATATGAAAGGGATTCAATTTATATAGTATTACTATATATACACAAAAAAGTAATTTTGATAACAGTTTAAGTCTTTGCCCCTAGCCCCTGCTGACTGGACGGTGCAGGGTGGGCCGCGCCAAATATACAGATATTGAACAATTACTAATACTAAAAAGCCCAAAGGAAAACCTCAAAATTATTGTTTTCTTGACCTGATTTATTGGTCTAGGAAGATCTGGACTTCAAAATGCTAGATTTGGCCCAACACAGCTTTTTTGTTCATGGGCCTCTCAGTTTGTTTCCAACCAATACCGGACTGAGCCCAGAGTGTGTCACAAATAGAGTTGTCAAAACGGGTCAGCTCAATCCCACCAATCCAAGCCTCAAGGGTCAATGAATTTGATGGATTAGGATTGATCGATCCTTTATTTGAAAGGGCCTGAAAATGATTAACCCAACCCAATCCTCAAAGGGTGGACTGGGGCAGGCTAGCCCTTTATTTCTTTTCTAACTTAAAATTTTGTAAGGGATCGTTTGGTAGGGAGTCTTAGGAGAAATAGTCCATGTATTATTTAGTACTATATTCGGTAAAAATTTGAACATATATATAACTAATCCATGAATTAGTTATACACCCTACATGGTATTTATTAAGTTTATAACATGTTTACCAAAATTATATGAAAGTACATACTGAATACAATCATAACATACACTATACATATGATTATTGGTGCTTTTAATTACAATCTAAATATATAACATCAAGAAAATAAAAAGATTTTCAAATCAAATATAACAAACAATGATGTTGTTTCAAGAATTCTAGCAATTAAAGAATATAATAATATTTTCTTAAACAAATAAATAAGTAAAGAAAATTTTTTAAAAATAAAATTGTAAATTAAAAAATATTTACGCCTTACAACTTTAGTTATTATTTTTATTTTAATTAAATTAATATTTTTGGTCCATGAATTGATCTTAACCCGACCTCGATCAAGCCTTAGGAGTCGGAGCCCAAAGCTTATTTGAGTTGGGCTTATAAACTCTAATAGGTTTGGAATTTGGGAATATTACGCGGTTAAGCAAACATATACTAGTTAATTAGCTAACATAGCTATTGTTAGCATTAATTACAATTTGGAACTTACTTCTAGCTATAATTACATCCTCTCTCTCTCCTCTCTCTGGAATCTCACTCGCTACTCTCCTCTTTTCAGTCATCTCTCCCTTGCCTCTCTCCTCTCCCTGCCTAGTCTCTCTCTCGCTTCACTTCTGTCATTCTCTCTCTCACTTTATACAAACACAAATGTATAATTTGTGTTTATATAAATCGAGAGAGACAAGATATACAAATACAAATATATATATCACCGTCCTATACACTTATAATTATACAAATACAAATCTTTCTTTGTGTAGTTCTCTTTTGCTTTTCTCTCTCTAGCGTTTTATACAAACACAAATTATACAAATATAATGTATAATTTGTGTTTATATAAAGCGAGAGAGATTGGATATACAAATACAAATGTTTTAACTCAATTCAATTGTATACGAATTCAAATTGTATGCAGATATACAAATACAATAATTGGTAAATATACATACATATATACAATTATCTAACCGATATACATATACAGTTCACCTCTCTCCACCCTCTCTCTCCTTCCTCTCCCAATCTGGCTGGCCACTCTCCTTCCTATAACATGTAACTACGAATTGTAATTAGCAAACTATAACTATAAAGCATAACTAAACTATTTTTGGGTGTTTTTTTTTATTCCAACTCTACCACCGGAGCTAAGTCCATTTTAACGGTGGTAGTCACATAGCAAGGATGCAGGGAGGCTACTAGCCTCGGCGTCATCAATTCAAAGGAGAAAAAAGTTGGTGAAGGTAGAGAGAGAAAAATGCACGAAACAAAGAGAGAAATTGAAGCATGTCATTTTGAACCTTTATTATATTCGGACGAGCTAAAAACCTTAGCACTGAAGTCAACACATCGATTTGCCCGGTTGCTCGGCCTGCGTTTTTCTTCGTCTTCGTGTTTCACATTCCGTCAAGTTGACTTCACCAGTTTCCGATACCCAATGCACCCGAATTCAGTTCATCATCTTTCTCGAATTCCGAATCCTCCTTCGATCGCTCTATAATCCTCCAGTACTGCGTAGAGACTAAATTTTCAGATCTGAATCTCGTCAGTTGTCATCGGAACCACTTCAGTAATGGGACAAGAAGATGCAGTTTCATTTGAAGGCCAACTTCACAGAGACAAGAAGCCGAAAGATAGAATATTAGATCTGATTTCGCGGCAATTTTATTGGTTAAGAAAGCTAACTGATGAGCTACACTGGAGCTTTGTTTCGTCTGTGGTTATTTTGTATGGAATCAATCAGGGTATGAGTTTGGGGATGAGCAGAATTAGTACGCAGTATTATATGAAAGACGAGCAGAAGTTACAGCCATCTGAAGCACAAGTTTATTTTGGATTAATTCAATTGCCTTGGGTTGTAAAGCCTCTTTGGGGACTTTTAACTGATACTCTTCCTATTTTAGGATATAGGAGGCGGCCATACTTCATTCTTGGTGGTAAGTTCATGATTTGAAAATGAAATCTGTTTTAACTTTTAGCATAAATAAGTCAATTTTGTGCTTTATGCTTCTGTAATAGTCTATCTAGTGGATTATGCTAGCTGGCAATGCCATTTAGCAGAGATGCAATTTTGTCATATGTTTCGAAGTTGATGTTAATCTTCACGTTGACTATTCAATCATTATTTTTTTTTGTGATTCCTCTTTCAAGATTTGAGTTGTGAGCACTTGTGTTTGTTTGCTTAGACAAGACTTTTCAATCATTAAGTAACCATATTTTGATTAATTTGTTTTTTGGCTCAATCTGTTTCTTGTTTCTGTATTCAATATTTATGATTTTATCCTTCGTAAAGTAATGGTAGTATAATAACACTGAAATATGTTTCACCATTGATCAGTAGTGAAACTATCTACTTAGGAGCAATTGCGATGACCAGCTGAAATTCCTAGAGTGTTAGGGGTTCCTTATGGCTGTAAAGCTATATTTGGTGAATGATTTATTATGCTATTTTATGCATTACAAATATGACTTGACTAGACCTTTGTCTTCGTGTGTTAACTTTCCTGTATATGTGATATGCCAAGGAGCTTCAATTTGGTGATATGAGTTGTTCATACTAGCTGTACAATAGTAACAATAGCTTTCAGAAGCTGGTCCTTCTCTGGAATCCATGGTAATGATGATGCTTAATACATCATTAATATGATGTCACTGGGAGATGGAAGAATATTTTTGTGTTTTCCCGATAGTGACACTTCTCATTACCTTCTTATTGTGTTTCTCTCACCAATAAGAAAAATAGCGTGAGAGAGATGCAACTGTGTTCTGTTGTCCAGATCAAGGAGGCCTTTAAAAAAATTGAATGCTAAAGAATTTGAGCTCTCATTGAGGTCAGACCGGCTCTAGTTTTATGGAGCTTGCTCATGGAAGCTGTGAACATCAAAAATAAGAATACTTGTCCAATTCATATGCTCTTTGGGATGATAAGAAGAGTTTAGATTACAATTGAGGGTCTTCCTTCTTAATGAAGAGTACATCCAAAGACTTTGTATGCAATTAGAAGGAGAAAGGCGGAAAAACAACAGATATGACCGTGAGAAAAGCATAGGGGAGGAAAGAAGATAAAGTGAATATGTATCTTGGTTTGATTCCTGGGTCCGGAATGAGTTTGCTATTCACTAACTGACCTAAAATGCAATTCAACGGGTATAGCTTCTTTACATCATACATTAATATATCTTAAGATATAGACTGTTTGAAAGGCTAGTAGAGAACATTATTAAGAAAGAAAATCAAGTTCACACTTTTCTTAATTTGAGTTTTCTTTAGAATCATAAATTGTTATTACATTTTAAACCAAAAGGATAACAACTTGGATTGCTAAAAATGTAGCAATACCAACTTGCACTTGTAATGTTTGTCTATAGAAATGACTCAATGAGCCTGATTCACAAAGGCCGGGAGGTTAGTGCATCATGGTAACTTTGATAAACTTTTGGTGCTTGGAGAGTAATATAGTTACAAGAAGAAAACATTAACACCGGAAAGCGGGAGAGAAGTCATTGGCTCATCGCTCAAAGTAGTTCAATTCCTTCTTGTCAAGAGTTATTTCCTCTCTTTCTTTACACCACTTTCTGCTTAATTGGCTTGTGAAAATTGGGGTTCAGCTGTTCAAATTTGCCAACATCTAAACTAAGTTTTTGGTTCTGTATAAGGGTAATGCTTCTAATACATTTGCAACTAACAAATTAATGTATCTCCCAAATACAAAATGTGGGTGATATAAGTTCATGTCGGGGTGTTTATATGCTTTGTCAGACATAAGTAGACTTCATTAGATTACATTCCACAAAACAGTCCTTGAACAGTGAAGATATGCAAAAGTTTCTGAGGCCATTCATTATAAGAAATATAT